CCCTCCCTCCCTCCCTCCCTCCCTCCCTCCCTTCTTACCCCTCACACTTTTTTCTACCCTCTGGGGTCTGCACCAAGAGGGGCGGCTCACGCAAGACCAGGTCGAACGGTACTACCGAGATGTGTGAGACAGTTTTAGGCGGAGGCTGTTGGCGGACGTTGTTGTCGCTCCGGAAGCACGCCGTTCACGGCTTCAAGCTACACATGCTGCGCTTGTTGCAGGGGTTGGTCGTGTGCGTGTTCTCTCTACCCCTACCGTATTGTCACGTTCGTCGCCGTGTCTGCACGTTGTATTTGTTGTGGAGGCGATCATTGATCGATGCTGCTGCCTTTTCTCTGTCGGTGATGCCCATGCCTTACTTCGTTTTGTAGTCTACCGGAAAATTGGCATATAGGCGCTTCCCACTCCAGGTTTTCTGTTCATTGTCGTTCCTCCACCAGATTCATGGCAACTAGGGCATGTCTGCTACTGCTGCTACTCTGCTGCTACATTTGTTTTTCGCGGGAGTTATTCTGTCAGTAGCCGAGTACACCAGTCTAGTTGAAGCACACCGCAGCTTGTGCAACTTGTTTCCCACTTTTTTTCTAGCCATTTGGTTTGCCTGTCTGTGGTGGTTTTATACCGCTGCTATTGAGCCCCCTCCCCCCCACCGCCGTCGCCCCCGCTGCCCCCGCCAGGTGTTCTCGTCGGTCAGCGTCCGGGGCCTGAGCGCCGGCGATAGCGGCGACGGGGATGCCACGGGCTACCAGCACCGTGCCAACGCCCGGCAGATAGTCTCCTCGCACCGCGGACCCGTTTTCGTCGCGTCCAACTCGCCCCTCCCCCATGTTAGTCGTTGGGTTGCCTGCCATGCTAAGTAGTGCCCTTCGCGAAGAAGATAACCAGAATGCCTCAAGCCGTTCGAATCCTGGTTTTCCCTGTCTCTGTCTCTGGATATCCCTTGTGCAATTATCGACGATCGGTAGATAACGTGCAGGTGTTGCTTTTTTCCGGACAAGTGGGGGTTGTTGTTGTTGTTGTTGTTGTCTTCACATTAAAAACCGTTCCGATCTCTCTCTACCCAGTACCTTCGTATGTCCGTACTGATCCGACACTCGACGCGGTCGATTCCCGTGGTCACAGGTTAACTTACCCTAAAAAGGTACACTCAAATGAACTGGCCCCGAGGGGTCCGCAAGTCAATAGAAATCAACGACAGATATTCTGGAATCCTCCACTCCCTCTTCGGGGTGCACAGCGTTGATGTTCCCCGCCCCTTTTTTTTTTTTTTTGCATTTTGCGTCGCCACCCCCGCCGCCGCCATCGATCAGGTGCGCCGCGTCCTTGAAGGAGTGGGTCTCGGCAATGTTCGCTTTGCGGGTTTTCTCACACCGGACACGAGGTGAGGAGACTATCAATAATGAAACTACCCGAAAAATACAAAACCGTAGCTAGTTCGACGAAGGGGTAGAAACGTTTCACTGGGTACATGCACGTACGTGCCGGCGCGCGTGCATCTAGAACCAGAGGAAAGTGCTGTTGTCGGTAGGATGTGGCAAGGGCTCTGCCAACGGTCGTTGTGTACCTCTGTTTATTGTCGCTTGCTTTTCCTCTACGCGCGTGTGCGTGTTTTTGCGAGGGAGATGACTGGTGTCACGGGGCCCCCTCTCTCGATGCCCCCCCCCCCCCCCCCCCCATCCCCGGGGGGGGTTCACGGTTTTCCGGAAGGGTTCCCCCAAAAAAAAAAAAATT